TGTGTGTGTGTGTGTGTGTGTGTGTGTGTGTGTGTGTGTGTGTGTGTGTGCGTGCGTGTGTGTGTGCGTGTGTGCGTGTGCGTGTGCGTGTGTGGTGTGAGTGCGTGTTATTCACCTTTTGTGGTAGATGCAGAGGCACGGCAGTCTGGCTATGGTGTCCCCCTGCTGCAGCTCCTCTAAACAGATCACACACTCACCGGCATCCCTCGCCAACACATCATCTAAGGTGGCAGGCACACACACACACACACACATACACACACACACACACACACACACACACACACACACACACACACGGGGGAAGACAAATCAGTATGCACCAAGAAACATCCACAGTTTCAGACAGCAGCATGGAGAGCAGCTTGGTGCATTACACAGCAGTTACTGTGGCTCCTTTCTGCTAGTAGCAACAAAAACACACAAAAAGGCATTTTAAGACGAGTCTGGAGCCGTTTCTCCTTTAAATTTCAGCTCACAATTTTTTATCCCCTTCCATTCTCCTTAATGTACACCAGCAGCCTCCGAGGATCTGATAAACAGCACAAGGCTTTGAATATAATACAACTTACGTCCCTCAATAAATCTGTCTGGAAAAAGTTTGTGGATTTTAATTTACAAATGAACACGTTATTTAAAGCATGTTTGTCTCCAGAGTGGATCATTGAAGTGACATTTAATTCACATTTAGCACTTACAAAGGCAGATAGGTTTTGTGGATTTCAGTCGTGTTTTCAGGTAATATCTCACTGGTCTGACTTGTTGGATCCCAGTTGATGGCTCAGATTTATCAGAAAAAAAAGGAGATGTATTTGAAAATAAACGAGGCATGTGGCCATTGCATCTTTTTGTGCACACAGCTTGTAACACTGTATTCCTATTCACATTGTGCCTTTTTCCACCTCACATCTAACCCATATCGTGCCTCCACTTTTATGAGTTGATCTGCTGGAGCACAACTGAGAAATGAAGACAGATTATGATCAGTTTGGTGTGGCTTTTAGACAGAGGAGAGTTATTGATGACGGACAGGCTGGACTGAGTGCTGAAATCTTTTGCACATCAGTGATTGAGGTTTGCTTACAATGACATGAACAGAAAGATGACAGCAAGGCTGGACTGATGAATCTAAAAAAACTCAAAGAGGCCTCAGATGGGTCCAAGTTAACAGTAATTTTGTCAGGCAAATAACCCAGGGCGCAGGCAGGTTAAAAAAACTCAGAAACAAGGCCTTTAATATAAATCAAAAGGGCTGTCAGTGCAACACAAAAACTCACTTGGTTGGGTCAAAAGGTTCAGGAAACATGGAGACATAAGACAGTCAGGGTTGACAGAACAATGATCTGACTCAGACTGAACACAGGACACYGAATATAAAGGCAAACTAATGAGAACAAACAAGAAACACCTGGAGGAAACACAAGGGGAAACAGGTGAGCGTGGGTGGGGCTGCAGGGCAGAGAAACACAGGGTAACATAGAAACACTTACAGTAGAAAAAAACAAGGAACCAAAAACACAGGCCATGACAGTACCTCCCTCTTAACGACGGCTCCAGCCATCAACAAGGAGATGCACGGGACAAAACAGATTCGAAGACAAAACATGAAAGTTCAGGGGTCGACCAGGAAACCATCCAAAACAGGGCACATCAGGAACAAGGATGGAGCCATAGAAGGAGGCGGGAGTCCACGTGAAGCCATAGGGGAAGGCAGGAGTCGACGTGGAGCCATAGGGGAAGGCAGAAGTCGACGTGGAGCCATAGAAGGAGGCAGGAGTCGACGTGGAGCCATAGGAGGAGGCAGGAGTTGATGTGGAGCCATAGGAGGAGGCAGGAGTTGACGTGGCGCCATAGGAGGAGGCAGGAGTTGACGTGGAGCCATAGGAGGAGGCAGGAGCAGACGTGGAGCCAAGGGAGGAGGCAGGAGCAGACGAGGAGCCAAGGGAGGAGGCAGGAGCAGACGTGGAGCCAAGGGAGGAGGCGGGAGGCAATGAGGAGCCGGCGGTGGTTGATGGAGCCTCGGCGATGGCGAACACAGGCAACAGAGGGGACGAAGAGACGACGGCAGCCGACCCAGGCGACATGGAGGCTATGGGCGACATGGAGGTAATGGCAGCCAACTCAGATGTCGTGGAGGYGCCGGCAGTTGACCCACGAACCTGAAGGATAGCCGACTCTGGGCTCGCCAGCCCAGGAGACACTGGGACCGCCAACTCAGGAGACACCGGGACAGCGAACTCAGGAGCTGAGATTGGAACCACCAACTCTGGAACCTCAGGATGCACAGGATACGTAGTAGGCTCAAAAGAATCAGAAGACTTGTAAGAGTCAGTTGCTGGAACAACCAGTTCGGGCATCGAAGGTCCAGGAAACATCAGAGCCAGCACTGGAACAACAGGAGGGGTGGGAGGGTGGGCATGGAAACCCTCAGCCAAGACCGGCCGAGCATAATCGCTGACCCTCCATTGCCAGGCAGGAAATGCAGATCGGGATGCCTTGACATGATGTCCTCAATCCGACGTCAAATGAACTGCTTACCTGCCAGTCAGGAGGACCACCGGAGGATCGTCAGCGAACCGGCGATCTGAGGGCTTGTTACTTCTTCCTCCCACCGCGACAGAGACAGGACCGGTTCTTCAGAAGCAGGTAAGGAAAAAACAGTCGTGTGGGGTCAAGGCAGTGAAGAAACAAAATTATCTGCCTTGTAAAAAGGCAGGCCAAAAATACAGTACCTGTACCTRCAGGCTGGGCGCTTGGTCGGATCATTATGTCATGATTTAGCAGGCAGATAACCCAGGGCGCAGGCAGGTTAAAAAAAACTCAAAAACAAGGTCAGTGCAACACAAAAACTCACTTGGTTGGTTCAAAAGGTTCAGGAAACATGGAGACATAAGACAGTCAGGGTTGACAGAACAATGATCYGACWCAGACTGAACACAGGACACTGAATATAAAGGCAARCTAATGAGAACAAACAAGAAACACCTGGAGGAGACACAAGGGGAAACAGGTGAGCGTGGGCGGGGCTGCAGGGCAGAGAAACACAGGGAAACATAGAAACACTTAGAAAAAAACCAAGGAACCAAAAACACAGACCATGACAAATTTACAGCACCAGCCTTTGTCATGTAACAATTTTTTTCATGTTTCCAATTGAGACAAATTGATTTTCTAAGAAGTTTCAGTAATATTACAGCCTGGGGTTCAATAATAGCGACTTCAGTGGCTTCCTGAATCGCTAAAGATCAAGCGAGGGAATAAAAAACCTTTGGATGTAGTAAAACTAAAGATTTCACAGCTGAAAAAGCAGCAGAAGAAGCTGCAAAACAATCAAATCCAATCATGTAGAGCAGAATCTCAGTTTTCAAATGTCTCGTTAAATGTGAAGCTGTTTGAGAGCCAACCATGGCCTGACCCCCTGTTTATATTCTGATTGTAATAAAGTCCYTCTGTGATCAGGTTTTAAACAACATTCTGAATAAAAATCCCCTCTTTAAAACCTAAATATTACCTAGAAAATTATTCATGCTTCTATAAGGATGATTTAATTTAGGTTTAAAGTGATAAATAATACAGAAACTCTTTAAAAATGGCTCTGTTTATTTCACAGCTATAGTTGACTGAATTCAAGATGGTCACAACAGCTAATGAATATTCCCCAACACAAAACTTACTATAACTCATATTTTTTTCAGATAATGAGCTGCAGTTTGATGTAGTAGCTGCGAGTCATTCACATTACAAAAAAACAAAGAAACCAACAGGAAATGTATAAATATCTCCAGGTTGTGATGAAAAATCACAGCTGGGCGTCATTGGTCTCAGTGAGCTGTGGGTTTTAGTAAACATAAATAAAACTGCTTAAAATAACACTTTCTGAACCACATAATCTGCATAAAAATATGAAAAAGAAGCTTTGAAAGTTCTGGGCCTTTCTCATGCTTTATCTGAAATACCAAAAGACAGAAGCCCCTCCCCCCTGCTTTGTTCAATAGCTCATTTTTAGTCACAAATTACATTTTTAAAATCTGAAAATGTTGTTTTTATAACCGGACAAAGTGAGTCTTTATGTTCAGACCATAACATGTTGATCCTTAAAATCGAGGGATAATCCTGACCGTCTTGGCGTCACTGTTAGCAGTCCGATCACAAACATCTCACCCGGCCTCCCCAGCTGTTTTATCAYGGCCCACAAACACAAACGGCTGGGAGAGACAGGAGCTCGAAGGCCGGCTCCTAATCCACGGTGAGTCGATTAGGAGCCAGGCTGGTCTCAGCTTGTCTCCAATTATCTGCTTATTGTTCTCACGTGTCGTCTGTGTGTTTCTCTGCACGCTATTCCCCCTCATTAGCACCTAATTAAATGCCAACATCTCATAAAGGAGTTCACATCCCTGTCAGAGTTTTAGACTGAGGCCTTATGACGAACCATAGCCATTTTGGTCAAATGAAAATGACATCATCTCATGTGATGTTGCATGATGTCATGCCACACCACGTCTTTTTTGCGTTGGCTAATATCAATTAGCTGTGGTGGCTGGCGAGAAGATGGGCAAAAATCTAAATCCTCTGTTTGCTCAGCAGTATGTGTTCAAAATTTAAACTATGATGTTAATAAAAAAACTGCAGCATCTTCTGTTTCATTAAGCGCGGCCTGTGTCCTTCATTAGGTGATCAGAACATGATGGGATATGATCCGAGTGCTCCTTTTCTGGGTCTTTGAGTCATTAAKGCACCTGCCTCCCTCCTGACTTTCAGCTCTCGTTGCTTTTTGCAGGTTTGCCAGCAGACGTTTGACATTCAGCACCTCCACATCAATAATCATGGAGAGAATTCACTCTTAGCTTCCTTGGATTGCAGCACAAAATTTCTGTTTTCTTGTTGTTGTTTTTTTCTTTGCCCTCCAGTGGCTCAATCTGCAGGAGTTATACCTTCCTCTTTATCGTTTCTCTCTGTTTTCCCTCCATATCAGCTTCATGAGTTCCGTATCTGTGCCCAGCCTCCCCACGCAAGTGCAGAGGGCTATATTTAGCTGGAGGCATTAAAATATCATCATTGGAAATCTAAGCCCAGGTCACCTCACGTAGACTCTGATAACCCTCACCTGCTCTGTGCATGCAGTAAACACATCAGATGAGCATAAACATGTTAGATTTTTGTTTTTGAATCAGATTTAATTAACTTAATATGCAGGATTCCTCTTCTCATTTAGATTCAATTTGATTTCTCTTCCATCAGATTCATATTAAAAATCCTCTGAAGGTCTTCAGGGACTGCCTGGCTGCATCAGTTTGGGACATTCGACCACTCAGCAGTCTCAGTGATGTTACTGAAGTGCTATATGGTTGCAGAGGTGATGCTTTTTTTAATAAAGCAGACAGTAAACAATCTGTTACCTCCCTGAGACACTTTGATCAGTCTAAAGTTTAGATTTGGATCTCAGGTGAAACTACAGCAGCAGACTTTGATCATCAAAGTTTTTCCTTTTCAATCATCCTGACACGTCTGAGCAAAGTTCAAACACAGAAACTTTTCTCCGTATTCTTACAGCAGAAAAAAGTATTCATTTCACACAACGATCAGGGTGGTCCTCACAGTGGTGGTATTCTGAACATGCTTGTGTATAAAGCACTTTTAGAAAATATATTCCAAAAAGAGAGTAATCCTATTAATCGTTCACCAAATTAACACAACGGTAGAAGATGCACAATGAGCAAAACAAGCAGTAAACGTCATAGAAATCCACCTTCTGATCATACAAAGGACATCMACGTCTCCAAAATGTCGTGAAACATTTGTGGGTTCCCAGTTTCCTTTGCATGAGTCACACAGGTATTCTTCTTAGGATTTTTTTTAGGATAATAATTAGTGGGAAAAATAATCTGCTTGTCTTCATTAGAAAAGTGTCTTGCTGCAGATTGAGTTGTAAAACAGGAGCAGCTGTTTGAGGTAACAATGTGCACGGCCTACAGTAGGTGCACTTTCATTTTGAAACACCTTGGCGGAGCTCATTGGTTACATGGTCACAGATGTTTTTAGATGTGTGCTCACACCAAGTGGAAAATGAAATATTAAAAAAGTTCACTAACATATTTTTCAAAATTTYGCTCACTTTTTGAGTGATGAAAATTTTCCACTAACATTTTATTATTTAGCTCACGGTTCTTACATTTAGCTCATTTTTACTAAATGTTTAATTTAAATGTTAAAAATCATATTAAATTATTCAATTTAAATATTTTCTTTAGCAGCGTTAGAAGCACTAGCAGAAATTACTGTCAGAAGACCCACATGATGTCATCACCCTGCGACAAACGTGGTGGCCGCAGCTAGCCACCGTTTGCTGCTACAGATAATATTTAAAATCTAAATTTGAAACGTGTTCATAAAAACCAATCTGGGTGGTCCCTGCGGTCCAGCAGTTTGCAGCTCAGACACCAGCCAGAACTGCAAGTTTGMTGTCTTGTAGGGAAGCTTTAGCTGCTTTGGAGCGCTATCAGTTGCTATAGGATGATGACATCGTAACATGAGCCGAGCTCAAAGGCTGCGTTCCATTCCAAAATACTTAAATGTGAACTTCAACATTTAAGGTTTAACTTTTACATTTAGATTTAGGATTTAATATTTAAATATATTTTTTAACATTTAAATTTAACATTTAGTAAAAATAGCTAAATGTAAGAGAAGTGAGCTAAATAAAGTGCTAGTGGATAGTTTTTAATGCTCAAAAAATGGGCAAAACAATGACAAATATGTTAGTGAAATTTCATTTTACACTTGGCACCCTGTATGCTCAGTGTTTAATTTTGAAACAAGAAAAAAAACATTAAGTTAATGATGTAACTAAACTTTATGCAGAAGTTGTTCGTAAACATGAAAAAGCAGACTCCAAAGTAAGATCATAGTCTGACTGGACTTGGTGTTAATGATATGCAAATTTTAAAACACTGTAGGTGGTGACTGGCAGTGAACCCCCGAGCATGCTGGATAATAAGATAAGCCTGGTCCATTTTATGAGTCTCAAAAACCCCTCAAAGAGAATCAAGAAGCAGAGATAGAGGAAAACATAAATTAGAAAGAGCTCAGAGACTCAGAGCAGACACGGATGGAGGGAGGATCGTTTTGTGTTATTTGCTGGAAATAAAGAGTGACAGGACAGAACGAAGCTGCAGGGGGGAAAAGGAGGAATTATTGGAGTGTTTCTCCTTTCACCCTTTCTGCTCTTGTCTGTTATCAGCCATCAGGACACTCCATCACTCAGGATCCCATCTCCTTTAAGACAGTTTGCCTCTCCTCTCTTTCTGCCTCCATCACTCAGACTTCAGCTGGAATCTGGCTGCCAGCTTCAGACCTACATTGGATTTTACTGCAGCGGCCTTGTGGGCCACAATGGCAGCTATTTGTGGAGCAGGAAAGTTACATCCCTGCCCTCCAAGCTTTAAATGATTTAGTTATTGTGATCAGAAACACAAGTGGCACTTAGAGACGCAGAGGCTCCTACAAGGTGACCCGATCAGACGTCTGCACCGTCTGGAGTCTGACGAGTGTCAATCAAAGAGCTGCTTCAGGATGCAACTTAAATATTTAGCTAGCTACCTAAATATTTAGGTTGAAACTTAAATATTTAGCTAGCAACATAAATATTTAGCTAGC